TTCCCCACACAGAATCTTCACGATCTTGTGTCCAGCAGGCAGAGGCTCTGACTGGATGATCATGTGGATCAGGCACCTACCTGTTAAGTGCTTCCTCCCTCAGCCTTCAGCCGTCCAGAAACACGTGCAGACAAAGACATATTTCTACACATTGCATGACTAGGAAAGATTTGAAAATGACTGCTCTCAGGTCCCATCTCCACAGACTGGGACTCGCACAGCCTGGGATAGACATTGTTTTAAAGCTCGACAGCTTTGTTTTGAATGTATAACTAAGACTGAACACGCATGGTGTAACAGCAATGCTTCCCTTGTCCCGAAGTCACTCAATGAGAATCCGAAAATCTCTTCCAGCTAAAGGTGGCCAGGTTCTTGTGCTGTCATTAAGTAAAAGCAGGAGGAAAGACCTGTGGGGTCCTAGCCACAGAAGGGAAGGCTATGCCAAGCACAGACAGTTCCAGGAAGGCGTGCCAAAGCAGGGCGGGACACGGAAGTCAGCAGGCTGGACCAGCTACTATTGCATTCTCCTTCCTGATACCAGAAGAGGTCTTTAGGCCAGGGCTGCCAACAGCCTGGCCATAAATGAGGGGGCAGGATCTGAGTGGTCCCTGTAACAAAGGGAAGGCATAGTCACAGTCACAATGGGAACCTGTCTTCCTTGCCAGTTCTTCTTTACATGAACAGGGGGTATTAAGGAAGGCTTCACAAGGCTTTTTGCTACACGGGGAAAGTGTAAACCTCCAGAAGAGAATGATTTCATGTTCTCCAACCTCCACACAACCTACATCCATATCCCATCTCCATCACAGACTTTTAAACAAACAGTACTAGTAAACACTTGAAATCTTTGTATATAATAATTCATAAAGACTCCTTCAAGGTAACTATTATTTATCCCTATTTTGCAGAAGAGAAAAGAAAAACTCCTCCCTCCACGTTGGTCTAAATTAAATCTTGTTTAAGCTTCTGTATTTCCCTTCACAGCACACTGTTTATATGCTTCCCACTGGACTATAGGCTCGCAGAAGACAGAGCCCACAGCTGTGTGGCTCCCTGTGTGCCCACGGTGCCCAGGAGAGAGCTCTCAGCAACTAAGAAGTGTAGAACATAGTTCTCAACCTGTGGGTTGCATATTACATATTTACATTACAATTCATAGCAAAAGCAAAGCCACAGTTATGGAGTAGCAACAAAAAGAATTTTATAGTTGTGGGTCACACAGCATGAGGACCTGTATTAGAGGATCGCATTAGGGAGGTTGAGAACCACTGCCCTAGGAGGATTTGCTTAGTGACTAAATGCAGGACTGAGGCAAAGATGAAACAGCTGTAGTCCACAGTGGTAGTGGAGGCAGGGAGAGGTTCATTATCCCAGGACTCCCTTGGTAACATCTGATGCAGTATGGTGAGAAAGAGCAGTGGGGGATGATCCAGGCACAGGGGAAGCTGCAAAGTTGCCTGCTTCCCTTTGCCTCATCCCAGCTCTCCTTTTCTAACCCTCTTTTGCAAATCCTTACAGCATTGTGGCCTACAAACAAGTCCCAAGGGCACAAGGAGAGGGTGCGGAGAAATGAAGGAGCTGAAAACACCTCAATTACCAAGTTCTGCCCATGAAACCCAAATTCCAGCCTTCCAACGGCCTGCTGACGCCCTTAGGTTCCTGGTGGGAGGGAAAATCAGTTTCTGGGTATTGGAGGAAAGGCAGAGGTTAGGGTCTGGGGTACCAGCTGCTTGCACCGGCATTCTAGGTCCTGGAGGGGTTCAGGCTCCATTCAGCCAGCCTTTCTTCCATCACTGTCTTAAGGGTTCCAATCAAGGCATAGCAAGTCACATGTGCACAGTGCTAGAGGTTCTGTGGAAGACTTAAGCCCAAGGGGGAATGAACATGAAATGGACATTTTGTAAAATCTGACATTTTTGTACAAATAATAATAGTTTTCAAGTTAATGTAAAATCTTGAAAAAAAAATCAGTTTGCTTGGTTGAGTCTTCCTCGGCTAGGAACAAGAGAGCAACAAAGTTCATGGCAGTGTTAACACTGTTGCTTTTAGGAAGCTCAGTTGGTGGAGTGCTTGCCTAGCAAGCACTGATTCCTGGCTTCGAACCTCAGCACCTCATAAATCAGGCATGGCCGTGCACAGCTGAAGTTCCAGCACTCGAGAGGCTGAGGCAGAAGGATCAGAACTTTAAGGCTATCCTTAGCTATACTGTAGTTTGAGGCCACCAGAAATACATAAAGTCCTGCCTCAAAGAAACAAACCCAGCAACAACAGCAAAATCCAGCAAGGACCAGTGAACTATGCTGTCGGACACTTTTAATCATCACTTTCTTGAGTGGATGGTGTGAAGAGTCGGGGTGTCTGGCATCAGCTTTTCTGAGTTACTTATTCTGATTGTCCCTTTCGCTACGAATAAAATCAACATTTACATTGTGAGTTCAAATCCTTCTTTTCTGGGTGGGACCCCCGAAACTGCAGATGTGGCGTTCTCAGGCTGGAGTGAATAGTTTGTATCGGATTCCCTTGCAGGGAATGATCAAAACTTGTCTTCCCTCCTCCTCTCTTCCAAGCTCAGTGCATTTCCAACCCCACCCTCTTCCTTCTGTCCTTACCTCTTAGGTGCCAGAAGCCTCCTTTGGTTCTTCAATACTCTAAATTTCCCCCACAGACTCCAGAATTTTTCCAACACCTGAGTCAACACCTCCAGCTCCTTATTTCCCCCCATTCACCATTTAAGATTACTGTATCCATCCTCTCTTTCCTGACTGATAGAATAGCATCACCTCCACCTCCCAGGTCGTCAGGCTCCAAATCACCTCTGACCTAGTCCCCTTCCCAAAGTTATCTCTTAAATCCAGCTGCCCCATTACAACCTCTTCCTTTTTTGTTTTTAATCACTTCTTGCTTTAAGAAAAGATTTTTATAACATGTGTGTGCACGTGCGTGTGTGTTACCATGTGGTCCCAAGGGTCAACCACCTACACCTGCACAGCCATCTCGCCAGCTCTGGCCATGGCTTTAACTATTCATTTCTATTTATTTCAGTCTGACCCCAACTGACCTTTGTACCTTTTAAAATGAGAAGGTGGAAGGTATATAAATGCTCCTTTAAAAAAAATCAGCTGACTAAGCATATAGAAAAAGCTTACTCATTAATATTTAACTTGGGGGACTGGAGAGACGGCTCAGTGGTTAAGAGCACTGGCTGGCTGCTCATCTAGATGTCCAGAATTCAATTTCCAGCAGCCACATGGTGGCTCACAACCATCTGTAATGAGATCTGGTGCTTTCTTCTGGCCTGCGGTCATACGTGCATACTGTATACAAAATAAATAAATCTCTAAAAATTATTGAACTTGGACATATTTGAACATCTTCCGTAAGGGCTGTCACAGTGCTCACCAGACAGGTGCTTTGTGTACATAAGGACTAGTTTGTCAAAAACCCTATAGCGAAGGCTTTCCTGCACTTCAAAGGTCACAGTACTGAAAGCTCAGAGATGTAACTATCCTAGAATCAGTTATTAAATGAGACAATGGAGTCAAAGTCTCAAATCTCTTTATTCCATCTTGCTGCCCCATTTTATATCACTGTAGTATTGGATTAATGATGTTGGATTAATCAAATAATTATCACTTAATCCAGAATCATTGGGACATCCATTTCCAAGGTCTGGCATGCATATATATCACATATATAAATATGAAACCACGCCTCACTATCAAGCCTTGGTTGACAGGACTCACACTCAGAGATCTGTCGGCTTCTACCTCCCACGTGCTAGGATCAAAGGTGTGTGCACCAAGTTCAGCTTCATTTTAAATTACATGTACATGCGTTGAGTGGGAATGTGCATGTGAGGAGAAGGCTGAAGGCTCCAAGAATAAGAATATAAAAATGTAGATTCCAGAAATAAGAATGTAGAAATAAAAAAATGTAAAGTTGCAAGCCTAGGAGAATGAGAACAGTCTATCTCTCAGCAGCTTAAGGATGAACTATTAACAGCGGGCTACTCTGCTTTACAGCCTAGAGCTCTCTTCACAAGGCCAAACTGAGAGCTAGCCTACGGGTATGAGCTGGGTCAACTGTTAGGACCTCTGGGTTGCGCATTATCCCTGCTACGTGAAACTGGCAGCATCAAAGGGAGAGCACAGGGCTTCAGTAAACACCACTGGGAAGTACCAAGAAAGACATTAAATATAAACACTAGTTTAGCTGAAAAACTCTGTTAATGGAGATTGTAAAGTAAGGCAACCTGTATCTGAGTTTTACCTAGAGATTGTAGAAATTTCTTTGTTCAGACCTAATGCTTGGTGTTCCTACTATAAAAAGGTAGGTTCAGAAACCAGCCTTTGCCACAACCTTACAAAATCCATCTCTGGCTGTGGTCTCAGCTAGCTGATAAGCTTTTTGTGCCCCATGGAGATTTTTAATTTAATTTTTTTCCTGGAATCTGGTTTCTGGATTAAAGTTCACTTCTGGTTTATTAGACTTTGGTGGTCTGTCCCCATCTTGGGACGACCCCCCTGGGCCCAACGAAGGCAAAGGAGATCCTGTAGAGCAGGGGTTACATGTGGTTGTGAGCTACCAGACACGGGTACTGGAACTGAATTCTGGCCCTGTTCTCCTCAAAATCACTCTCGTAAACCACAGGCATTCCTTTTCTTGAAAATGCCTCTCAAACATGGCAGGAAAACAGACACAAAGCAAGAATCAGGAAACGGCTGCCCGTGTGGGAAAAATCATCTCACTGATACTATAGTATACAGTGTTTCCATCTCCCTGACTGCAGGAGAGGGTGAACTGAGGCAGGACCTACTGTGAAGTGAACAGGAAGGATAAGTGTGTACTTACGTTTGCCTTTTCTTATTACCCTGCAAGAAATGTTCCGACTCTCATAAGCAAATTATCATCTGTTCAGAGAATCTTTTAAAAACCCAGAAAGATAGGCATCCCATTTTCGGATCCTAACAGATACAAATGAGCACATGATCCAGGATAAATAAAGCATCTTTTATAGGTTTATTGGTCCATTGCTTTAAGTGAGGTAAAGATTTTTTTTTTAATTTACAAGCTAATAGTTTACCAAGCAATACAAATTCTTTGTTTACCTCAAAATGTAATACTAATTCCATAGTAAACAACAAACAGAATTTCTTACACACAGATACATGAAAAATCAAAGCAGACAAGAACCTCGTGCCAGCATAAAAAATACAACAAAACATCTCTGGTTCTGTAACAAAGAGAAAGGTGACATTCTTTTTCGGTAGTTTCATGAGACAAGGACTTAGTTCTGTAAATAAATCACTTTCTTGTCAACACATATCCCTCAAGCACTTATGTTCACAGCTTTTGTTTTGGTTTAACGGCAGCAGGGAGAGAGCCAGTACACCAGGGTGGGACTCCATTCCTCAGAAGCCTGTTTCTTTCTCTGGAAGTTTTAAACACAAAGAACAATTTCTAAAAAAGTCCAAATATTTATTTTCATGCCCCTTGAAGAGTTTGCTGGCAGTTTGCTTCATGGGAGTCTGCAGATGTAGGCTGTCTCTCCGTGCGTTCCTGACGCAGGCATGAAGGGAACAGGCACACGGAAATACAATGAGCAGGGACTCTGAGGGAGCCCAGCCCGGCACGGCCTAGGTGGGCAGCGCTGACTGGAAGAGACGCTGGCTTGTGCTGCTTTGTTCCTGGATGAAGGCCCAGTGGACACAGCTCCCCCTCCTTCCCTCCAGCATTGTTCCTGGCAGAGTGCCAGTCTAAGGCTGTGGCCCAGCCTGTTCAACAGCAGTGTGCACAGGTGTTAGCTGCTCTGACCTGGACTGTGGAGAGCCCAGAATCACCCAATACTTGGGCGGTACTTCTGGGAGAGGCACATTTGAACCCTTCAACACTGGCTTTAGTAGTGAGTGAGTTGGCAGAACAGGTAAGCTATTTGGCATTTCAACCTAAGGAGAATTTCTATCCCAGTGTGCTCTGAGACCACTCTGGAGGCAAGGCAAGCCTCTCATGCTGCCGTAATCTGGAGGGTTCTCTGAAGCATGCAATTTGTAACTGCTGATAATGTCGGTATCCTCCACACCCCAACTAGGCCAAAGCACACTAAGCTTGTCTTTCTCCCTCAAAAACATCAAAACGGGCTGTGCTCCCTGTTTCTTGACATTATTTTCAAATACCATTTGCCAACAGAAATATTTAGTCTTGCTTCCCAAAAGGCCACCTTCCTTCTGTGACCTATACCTCTGGCTTGTGACTTTAAGAGGACTGAAGATGGCCCATAATAAGTTTCTAGACCAACTGCTTCTACACGTAAAACTCTTTCTATGCCAACACTTTAAAACACTAGTAAGGCAATTAGTGGGTACTGACAGCTGTTTAAGAACTACTGTTATGCTTTTAACAGTCTGTGGCTTTTCCTGGGTGGGTTGGTTTTCAAGTGCTAAGAACACCGATATGAGATACACATCTTATTTGTCTCTTTAAAAGTTTCCCCACCCACGGTGCTTATTTACAAACTACAATAGTTAAGAACTAGTAACATTTTTTTTTGCCACACATAAAGTATTGGATAGTCAGTCATACCCAGGAATATTCCAAACAGATATGATTAAGAGAGAATGGTCAGCCCTGTAACAGTGCTTCCAGCCTTCTCAGACACCGAGTTCCTGTCCTCTGATGTGTACAAGCATGGGGACACCTTCAAAACGGAACACTGACGACCTACAGAGCAGGCTGGTAAAAACCGAGTCCCCCATTAGTCACTAAATTAAAAACAGGGAGGAAGCAGGCTTCCCCAGCACACCGACTGTACCTCTATTTGGCCAAGAAGAGGTCATTTTCCTCAACTCTACTGCTAAGTGCCACCTGCTACCTGAGCAGAGCAAGTCACAGGTGATGAGAAGGCACATGCAATCTGTTGTCATCCTGAAGACTCTTGAGAGCGAGACGGCAAGCCCAAATTCCCGACGTAATTTGTAAATGAAGGTGAGCAAAGTCCCCTAGCCATGTGCTTACCTTACTTCATTTCCAAATACCCTTTATAAGAAGATGGGGTTCAGCAGGGGCCCAGCCCCAGGAGCTGACCCTCCATAAGAATCACCCTTCATGGTCAGCAGCTCCACCTAGCCAGAGAAGAGCCCACCTCCAGCTGACTCCAAGACCCAAGCCAGTAGTGTCAACACAGTCTCTAAGGCAGTCCTTGGCTTTGTTGTACCCACCCTAACCCGCTCAGGATAGTGCAGTGTAGTGCCCTTACCATGGCTTAGATGACCTCACTGAAACAACCAGCTACCTAGTACCTAGAGCTTCAGAAGGTCCTGCCTTCACAGGACAGGACCAAGGCCCAGAGGCTGAGTGTTCTTTTGGTGCTATCCTAAGAGAAGCACGGCCATTACGCTCACTTCTAAAGTCAAAACTTCCATTGGGCCTCACCAAGGGCTGCAGTGTGCATGGACAGTTTCTTCCCGTGGACAGCAGAAAGAGTACATTCTACTCAACACCTAGAGCACACTCCACGGGGTTCACCTCTGTCCCCAAGCACGGTGGGGCTTTCTTGTTTCAGCTATGGGAAAATGCCTGGTGAGTTCAGAAGAAGCCTGGAGAAGCACCAAGCCCACTGCCTCTCTAAGCCTACTTTCCACTTACCAGCAATCATTACTGAACCCGACCCCACAGAGGCTTACTCCTTGCTTTGAGCACAGCAGCTCAGATTCTTCTTGTAAACTGTCAGCATTAATAGCATCCTTTCCTACTACAAACCACGACACTGCCCTAAACTCTTGCATCTCTCCAATCTCCTTGGTTTTAAGAACTCTTTTCTTGCCCGGGCAGATCTCTAACCCAGGGAAGAAACCCTCCATCTCTCAGGACCGGGCAGTCATAGGGCCAACTTTCACTTCACTGTCCCATGTTCAAGCCTCCAAAGCTATCCATGTCTCTCTACCTGAGTACAGTGCTCTGCCCTCAAGGCAAAGTCTCATGGGAAATAAACAAGAGGGATCCGTGACTTCATGGCAGAGGCTTCAGAAGGAACGAATGAGGCCTCTCTAAGGCCTTTTGACACTGTAATCTCTGAGCAATATTTTGTGGAGGGAATCTCTTTTGGGCTTGGCCAAGAGGAAGCAAATGCTTGGGACTGCTGAGCTTCCGGGAACTTGAGGGAGCCCCAGAGTAGGCGGGTAGGAGGCCTCTTTCCACTGTCTACTGCCCCTTCTCTTCTGGGCCAGACGCTAGCCTGAAGACAGGGACAAGAGTGCCTTCTTGTGCATGGCTGTTCCTGGCTTAGCCACTGACATCATTTCTAGGGGACAGAAAGTTTCCATTATCCCAGCTCTTTCTGGAATCTCAAAGTCTAGGGACATTGCTTGCTGGCCAAATAAACAGAAGACAGAAATTAAAAGATGCCGTAAAAGCCAGCCTCTCATGAGGAAATGGCTGTGGATCCTGCTTCCCTCCATTTACTTCCCCTGCAGCCCAGGGCTGTTTTCACAGGCTTCTTTCTTGTGTAGCTAACCAGCACACAGGATTGACTTGGGGTTTCAGCAACCAGCTCGTCATCAAATTTTAGCTTCTCCTTAATTCTTTCCGTAGTTCTTGTCAAACATCATTACGCTGGACACTTAGCAAGGGCACAGTCCACAAAGCCAAGTTTCATGTTTCCCAAAGATGAACATCACTGCTTGGTGTCTGCTGACATCTAACAATGGAGACCTGCCGGTGACTAGACACACGCCCTGACTCTACCAGCACGCTCAGGTTGACTCTGGGCATTTACACCCACACCAACCTGATGGCTTCGGAGGTAGAATGAGATTCCAGGCCACTGAAGTTTGGAGTGGACAGACTGTTCTTACCTTTCCACTCCAGCGGGCCATTTCTATTTGTACCAAACAGAATTCACATCAAAGGAGTTCAGGATGGCACAGAGGGGTCTGGGCAAGTACCAAGAGTTGCAGAAACTATTATTTCAATCACAAATTTGTCAAATGTGAGGAAAAGGCAAATTGTTTCATGCTGTCTAGCTGCTGTCCATGATGGAGGCCAGCTCTGCGCGAGGGAAGGGAGGCTTCAGCACGCGGTGCGCTGATTAGAATTTGCAAATAACTTGTATGTGCTTCATTCTAAAAACAAACAGAACCCCTTCCATTTACCCGAGCTCGGATTTATGCGTTTGAGCAAAGAGCCACAGATGAAAGAACACACTCTGCAGCTGCTTTCCAACAATGGCCTGAAAAAGAGCCTTTCTAACTTCTGGATTTATGGCAACTTGAAAAGTTTCAAATGAAGATTTAAGCACAGCCAGCAGTCTCCAGATTTGGGCAGCAAATGGAGATTTCCACATATCTAGAAGCAAAGAGCATGCTGTCACTCTCGTCTCTGAGCGCCCTGCAGATGCTTTCGTCCTGACCACACTCATGTAGAACATTCATACTGAATTTACAAACTGGTGACAGTCATGACAATGTGACATACCAGCCCTCACTGCAAGGTTGCCCAGATATTCAGTGGGCATGACAGGAAGTATTAAAACAGACATTTTTGGTGAAGTAAAGGCAAATTGCATAAAGCAGACACTGGGACTGGGGCTTGGCACACAGGAGAGTCGCTGACCATAAAATAGCAGCTGTTTCCTAAGAGGTCTAAGAGCAACCACGACAATGGTTAAACAATCAAAACAAGCACATTGACACCTTCACAAAGAAAAATGCACCTTTTTTTGCCAATTCACACCGAAAAGCTTCTCATCTATAGCACTGTGGATGCCAGAAACAAGATCCAGGAGCATTCCCTTCAGCTTCCTGAGGCATGGCATAAGGACGAGGACGCTGGCTCAAGCACTGGTGCACACGGACACTGATTTAAATGGACCCATGTGAACCAGAAATAAGTCAAAAGATGCCACTCATAATGAGCTGGCAGTAGGCCACAGTCACTGTAAATTAAGGACTTTCCACGAAGGTACCTAACCTCCTATGCTGGGACACGTCAATGCCCTTAGGGGTAAAGTGCAGAACCACATGGTCTCCACAGCAAGCCACGGCTGCCTTCTTCATGTCTCCTGTGTCCCTGAAACGCAAGGTTCTTGTTCTGTCTCACAAAAGCAATTGGGATGCCCCCAAAGTGATGTCACATGTCATCTGGGGGCTGTTCTGTCCCTTAGTTTCAAGTCTTCATAGTGTTCCATTTAGGAGGTTCCTTCACAATATGGAGGTATGCTTCTGTTGAGAGATGATTACAGACTCACAGACTCCACCAAGGAATAAATACTAAACTGAAAAACAACTGTGGGGGAGGGGAGGGAGAAAGTACACAAACGGGAGGTGGTGTTTTGCTGTGTTCTCACGGCCACCTCTCCGGCACTGCAGGGACACTCTGGTTCAGGGTGCCATGCCCTGTGGAGGCAGAAGAGTCTCTGTCCCAAGAACAGATCTACTTGGTCTCTTGTTTTTCTTGCAGTAGGGGAATAATTGACTCCCACGCCATGAGGCACTGAAACGACAACATCCACACAAGGTCAGCTGCTGAATGCCACTCTGCCAACCCTGATCCTGCTGGGTCACCTTTGTCCAGTGGCACCTACCTGTGTTATCAATACTATTATCAACAGAGGAAGTGACAAGTGTTTGTCTGGAATGTGTCACCCCATCTTTATGAAAGAACAATGTCCTTCCAAGGCTGCATGCATTCGTGAGAGTGTGAAGCCTACACCCAGGGAGTGGACATGGATCTACTCTTAAGAAAATCTTTCCTTCCACTAAGCAAGCACTAGACCAGGCAGGAAACTCCTGATGAGGACACCGGTTCTGAGCACCCATGGAGACACTGTTGGAGGCTTGGGTGGGGCTTGTACAAGGATGTAAACATGAAAACCCAGCCACCTGAGTCAGGGTGGGTGGAAAACCTGCTCTGATTCACCATCCTGAAGTTTGGGTTGCTTGTTTGTGTCACTCTTAGATCTCCCCACAGAATGGGGAGAAAGGAGTCCAACAATTCCTACAGTTATTTCTGTTTATGTGAAGGTGGGGTACATGTACCATGACATTTGTATGGATGTCAGAACAACCTTAAGGGGTCAGTTCTCTCCTTCTACCACGTGGGTTCCAGGGATCAAATCCAGGCTGTCAGGCTTGGCAGCAAGTAAGCAATCTCACTGGCCCAACTACCAGGTTTAATTAGACCCATACACTGTTATGTATTTTATATTCGCTGTTACACAGTTTGTAGTCAGAACATAAATACAAACTGATAATCCTTTCTCTTCATTCCAGGCCCTTGTGACAGGCCAAGAATTTAGAAGACTTGGGCGCAGCAGCCACATCCTCCCTCTGAAAAGCCTCTGTAACAGACAGCCTTGGGGTAAAGGAGGACTGTGTGCTGAGTCACCTGGGGAGGAGTTCTGCAGAGGTGGGAGGGAGGAGAGAGGCATCAGGTCAGGCAGAAAGAAGAGTGGTGAAACTTCTCCCTGGTACCTTCCTGGACAACTCAGAAGCCTGTCCTAAATACAGAAAGCCTAGGCGGCCTCAGGAGCTTGTTCCAGTAATGACCCTGAAGGCCAAACTCTCCTATCTACAAGGCTCTTTCTGCATGTCCCAAAAGGAATCATGACTGATCAAACTTTCACTTTGGTCCTCAAATGTGTTCTCTTTTCTTGCTCAGGGACCTTGTGTATGTTGTACCCTTTGCCTACAGTACACGTTTGTCAGACCTTTGGCTCTAAGGATCAGAATAAATGTGACTTCCATAGACTGGTCTTCCCTGCCCACTGATAGACTGAGGATGCCTAGATGGATTTATCAACTTTGTAAACAATCCTTTGCACACAAAAGAGTACAGGAAAAAATGTCAAATACATGTAGAAGCCAAGACCAGGCCTCAAGATCGTTACCCTATTTATAGTACAATGGGAAGAAACAGGCATAGACCCGAGTTTGCATTCTGGGATTTTAGAGATGGCAGATTCACCCACAACAGCATGATGGAGACACTGAACCTGGCTGCTTTTAGACTGGGAAGGAAGAACAGCAAGGTAATTTTTATTGACTGTTTGCCAAATGCTGAGTATGTTCTGGAAACCTGAATGAGCATTTTACTTTATCTTCATAATCATTCCATAAAAAAATGATTACATTTACAAATCAAGAACAAGAGAGATGAGCCAGCAGGAGAAGCATCTTGTAGGAAGCAAGGCTGTTTCTGATTGTGTGTGAGGACAATCCAAACTACGGTTCTGTCAGTTAGATGCTTGTAGTTTGGTACTCAAAGGGCGGGTCACCTTGGGAGGACTTTTTAAACCTCTGTGAGTATTGGTTTCTTTAGCTTTAAATTGAAAATCATAAAATCTTTGTCACATCAGTTGACATGAACACATGGCTGGGGTCCTGGAACCCTGACTAGGGGTGACAAAGAAGAAAGGACAAACATGCAGCAAAGCTGGGATCACTCTGATAGAGGGCTCCTACTGCCAGCAACATGGAACCTCAATGAGTTTATTAGGTTCCGCATAGGGAGAGGGATTAGCTAGGAGCTGTAGATCTCTGTAGCAGTAGTCTCAGGCTGTAAACACCTGGAAGGAGGACGCTACAATTCTAGTCTTTGCAACACCCTGATCAATTGTTTGAAAACACTCACCCTCAGACCCTAGGAAGCTCTACTACTCCTCTGCAGCCTGGATTTGCCAGTTTCCCATGGGCCAGAGGCCTTGGAGGCCTCGAAATGGGTCAACAACACATATTCACTCAGACACTCACTCACTCAGGCCCTCACTCACTCAGGTCCTCACTCACTCAGGCCCTCACACACCCAGGCCCTCACACACACACTCAGGCCCTCACACACTCAGGCCCTCACACACTCAGGCCCTCATTCCCTCAGGCCCTCACACACTCAGGCCTTCACACACTCAGGCCCTCACTCCCTCAGGCCCTCACACACTCAGGCCCTCACACACTCAGGTCCTCACACACACACTCAGGCCCTCACACACACACTCAGGCCCTCACACACTCACTCAGGCCCTCACACACACACACTCAGGCCCTCACACACTCAGGCCCTCACACACACACACTCAGGCCCTCACACACTCAGGTCCTCACACACTCAGGTCCTCACACACACACTCAGGCCCTCACACACTCACTCAGGCCCTCACACACACACACTCAGGCCCTCACACACACACTCAGGTCCTCACACACTCAGGTCCTCACACACACACTCAGGCCCTCACACACACACTCAGGCCCTCACACACACACTCAGGCCCTCACACACACACTCAGGCCCTCACACACACTCAGGCCCTCACACACACACTCAGGTCCTCACACACACACTCAGGCCCTCACACACACACTCAGGCCCTCACACACTCAGGCCCACACACACTCAGGCCCTCACACACTCAGGTCCTCACACACTCAGGCCCTCACACACTCAGGCCCTCACACACTCAGGCCCTCACACACTCAGGTCCTCACACACTCAGGCCCTCACACAGTCAGGTCCTCACACACTCAGGTCCTCACACACTCAGGCCCTCACACACACACTCAGGCCCTCACACACACACTCAGGCCCTCACACACACACTCAGGTCCTCACACACATACTCAGGAGGCCCTCACACACACACTCAGGCCCTCACACACTCAGGCCCTCACACACACACTCAGGCCCTCACACACTCAGGTCCTCACACACTCAGGTCCTCACACACACACTCAGGCCCTCACACACACACTCAGGCCCTCACACACACACTCAGGCCCTCACACACACACTCAGGCCCTCACACACACACTCAGGCCCTCACACACTCAGGCCCTCACACACACACTCAGGCCCTCACACACACACTCAGGCCCTCACACACACACTCAGGTCCTCACACACACACTCAGGCCCTCACACACTCAGGCCCTCACACACTCAGGTCCTCACACACTCAGGCCCTCACACACTCAGGCCCTCACACACTCAGGTCCTCACACACTCAGGCCCTCACACACACACTCAGGTCCTCACACACTCAGGCCCTCACACACACACTCAGGCCCTCACACACACACTCAGGTCCTCACACACACTCAGGCCCTCACACACTCAGGCCCTCACACACTCAGGGCCTCACACACTCAGGTCCTCACACACTCAGGCCCTCACACACTTAGGCCCTCACACACTCAGGCCCTCACACACTCAGGCCCTCACACACTCACTCAGGTCCTCACACACACACTCAGGTCCTCACACACTCAGGCCCTCACACACTCAGGTCCTCACACACTCAGGCCCTCACACACACACTCAGGCCCTCACACACACACTCAGGCCCTCACACACTCAGGTCCTCACACACTCAGGCCCTCACACACTCACTCAGGTCCTCACACACACACTCAGGTCCTCACACACTCAGGCCCTCACACACTCAGGCCCTCACACACTCAGGTCCTCACACACTCAGGCCCTCACACACACACTCAGGTCCTCACACACTCAGGCCCTCACACACACACTCAGGTCCTCACACACACACTCAGGTCCTCACACACTCAGGCCCTCACACACTCACTCAGGTCCTCACACACACTCAGGTCCTCACACACTCAGGCCCTCACACACTCAGGTCCTCACACACTCAGGCCCTCACACACTCAGGACCTCACACACTCAGGCCCTCACCACACACTCAGGCCCTCACACACTCAGACCCTCACCACACACTCAGGCCCTCACACACTCAGGCCCTCACACACACACTCAGGCCCTCACTCCCTCAGGCCTTCCTCCGATGCCCACACCTTGTGGCCATGATGGAGTTCAATTTAATGAGCTGGCCTATTATCCAGGGACGATCCAGTTCAGAAACAACGCACTCCAGAGAAAAATCAGGTAAAGATGGAGGGCACCCATCTCTCCCAACTCTTAGCTGTATTTCCTTTGTTTTCCTTTGGTAAGCCGGGAAAAGTCCAGGCATACCACCTAAAAGCAGTCGCCACAATCATCAAAGCCTCTACTACAGCCTAGGCCAAGGACGTGTCTTAGGGCTAGGAGATATGCCTGTCCCTATCACCTTCCACAGGAGAGAGGCTGTCCTGGCTCCAACAGCTCAACTTCAAGGCCACAAGTTATTCCAACTGAACTTAGGCCACTGTTTAACTCTAAGTGTAGTCTACAAAAGACAAGACTCACTACCAGAAACGACTTCAAATTAGATACATTAGGCATGAACCTTGATTTGAGGAGATGGGCCTCTCTCTCGTACCCTCCCATCGTGTGTGTGTGTGTGTGTGTGTGTGTGTGTGTGTGTGTGTGTGTGAATAGAAATGTTTAACCTGAGGTCCACAGGTCAAGAGGATGCAAGAATAAAAACTTTGCTAATAGCATTGCTTTCCTGTCTAATTCCATACAGCTTTATTTCAGGTATTTAAAAAGAGTATTAAAAACAAACAAGGTCTTAATAAGATGTCTATCAGCCTCAGTAGATGACTAAAGGGGTCCATGGCATAGTGAAAATAAAGAAAACTTTATGTGGAACCCCAAAGCCTCCATAAACTGGGGGTACCCATGTGCTGGTCTCACTGGCTCTGGGAACTCCAGCAGTGTGTAAGAGGCGTGCGTGAGAACTGCCTCTCTGCTTCGAAACTCAGCCCTGCTCGGCCAGGGCGCTCGGGATAGCTCACATGCAAGTTAGGGATGGGACAAGGGGGATCATGCTTTGGGGTTTCTGAAAGACCCACCACCCCCACGAAAGGCTCTGGCCTCTAGAAACCACAATGGCATGGGCTGCTTCTCACCTTCTCATAATACTGGATATTCTTGTCAGCCAAGCCCACGAGCAGCTGCCGGAAGTCCTGTCGCTTGTTGCCCTGCCACCTCTCCACGTCAGCCTTAAGGTCAGCATTGAAGCACTCCATCCTGTCCTGGCACTTCTCCACATCTGCTGGTACCTGGAGTGGAAAGAGATTCGTGGCTTTTAAGTGTAGTTGGTTTCTTCTACTGTGAATTACTCTTCAAACATTTGTAGGGAGCCAAAGTGCTAAATTAAAATGACCCTGGAAAGCAGAGGCTTGGAAGTGTTTGCAAAACGCAAACATCATCCCACCCGTTAACAGAGCAGAGACACACGGGAAACCACTCCTCTGTCTCCATCTGCAAATGGGAAAGAAAATCCCTGCAATCAAGTAGAGACCTGGGATCCTGTTAGGATTTACGCTTCCATGCTGACAAACGGGGCAGACTTTGTACATACAGCAGCAATTTCTGCGCACAGTCCTGCATCGTTCCGGGGTTTCTTGGGTCACGGGATGCCTTTCCTCACGCATCTGAGTTAACTGTAAAAACGAAGCTACCAGCCAGCTCCCTCCTCTAAACTCCACATCATAAATAAACCGGGTTACTTCTGCACTCTAGGTGGCAGAGAATCAGAAAGTCCGAGAACGGAAGGAAAATTGTTGCGGTATCAAAAGAATTTGAAGCATAATAATAGCAGGTGGCTTCAAGTATTTCTTAGTTTAGGAAGACTTTCTCCAAAGGAAGTGTGTCCCCTGGGATTCATGACCTTCACTTTGCTGCAGGGAGTTGCACTTATCCCACAGGGTTAGCAAGGGCCTCCTGGTCATGATGGTTTTCCAAAGTCAGATTTTTCAGTTTTATCTCAAGTGCTGCATTGGGCCCATATAGTGGTCAGGGCTTAACATGCCAAGCTAGGTCAACACTTGCCAGAAACAAATGAGACTTTCAAGGTTTTAAGTCCACAGAGCAATGAGCACAAATGTCCCCAAGTTACAGGAGTAACCATGGAGAGCCAGTTTCTACCCACCAGAAATGCAGACATGGCAGGGACAGGGATGCTGACATCTGACACCCAGGTCTGCAGGGAGGTGACACTGTGGCTCTGTTTCTTGTTTGTGTTTTTTTTTTGACAACTAACTGATGAGTAACATCTAGTATTCCTTATTGTTAGTCATGCTCCTTGTGTCTGACAGACATCGGGATGGCAATATCCAAGGAAAACGGTTGGATGTTTTCTATCATAAGATTCAAAAGACTGGGGGCTGAGTCACCTGCTAAGGCCCCAGATGGCAAAAATGTCTGAATCAAGGGTAAGCTGTTGTTCCCACAAAGGCTCCTCCGTGTCTGGTAAGAAAGTCTTTCAGAGAAGGCTCAGGTGTGATAGCATGGGGGCTTGAATATCCACACAGGACCTGAGAAAGCTTTTGAAAAAGGTTCCAAGCACACAAACACAGAGCCAGACATGGCTTCTTGGCCCTACAGTCTCTCAGGCTGGCCAAGGTGTACAGAGACGCAGTTCCTGGTCGCAGCCTGCAGGCTTGAGTCAGCCAGTACCACGTGAGGAGCTGCACGATGGGTTTAAAGCTTGGCTCACAGGGTCACAGAAGGCTGCAGGCATGCAGTGAAGTGATCCAGACCAAGAAAAACTTTAAACAGATACAGTAAAAAATAGGTATAGATGGTCATAGGAAAAAAAATAGTTTAAAAATAGTAAAGTCTTTAAAGAGAGAGTAATATAGAAGAAAAAAGACACGCAGAGATGGGAAACACACGGGGCCTCTGGATCCGGCATGTTTTGTTGACTTTAGATTTTTTGAATATTGATGAGCAAATGGCAGCAGAGACACTGGATTATGAAGGACGGCTGAACTAAACCACTCTATGTACCTTAGGGAAGTCTTAGCTTCAGAATGGAAGTCAGGACATGTGTTAGGTTGTGTGTGTGTGTGTGTGGGGGGGGGGGGTTATGGATTTGTTTTAACAGGAAACAAAAAGTATGGCTCTCTTTAAAATTAATGAAGATCAAATATGATTGGGGGAGACCTCTTACAATTCATAGCTACAGACATGAAGAAAGAAACCAAGAAAGACTACAGGGCAGGTGACATACATGCTGATCCCTCTACTGTGGGAGCAGCTCTGAGACTGGAGGAAACTGATACATCTTGCCAGCTACAGAGTTCTCATGACTTATTATTACATGCCTTCCTTTCATATGACATGAAGAGAGGTTTGGTTCTACAGTCTAAACAAACTTATAAAGTTAACAGAAGCCCTTTTCCTGCTAAAACATAAAACAAAAAAGTCATCTTTAACTGTCTTGTGCACACTGTACATCCCATACTAGTGTTAATATACATACATGTTATCTTTAAAATGATGTGGGATTCCCCTTTGTATATGTGAATATGTTTTTATTACTCTTGGTTAATAAAGAAGCTGCTTTCGCCTATGGCAAGGCAGAATAAAGTCAGGCAGGAAATCCGAACAGAGATATATAGAGCAGGTGGAGTCAAAAGGACGCCATGTAGCTGTTGAAGGAGAAAGATGCCGGAACCTTATAGGTAGGCCACACCCTCGTGGCAATACAGATTGATAGATTGGTTAATTTAAGGTGTAAGAGCTGCTTAGAAATATGTCCAAGCCATCGGCCAAATAGTGTTTCTATATAATTAATACAGTTCCTGTGTGGTTATTTGGGTCTGGGTGGCTGGGAAACGGAAGCACAATCTTCACTTACATTAAAAGTTGGTGTTTTCAGAAGAACAGGGCCAGATACCAATAAAGACAAGCAGCCCACGTGATCTAGTCTCTCAGAATGGCGTCAGACTCTTCAGACGAGCTCTCCCAGGACTTGGCCATCACCCTAATTCTCTCAGCGTCCCCTAAAGATGCCTTTGCCCCCAGACAAGAACGCAGAGCATAACACTTACATTCCCAAGAGGAAGGGTCGGTGAGTTTTGGTCATTTGGTGGTTTATGGATGTTTGACATCACTTGGGGTCCTGGTTACAAGTTGTTATTAGTAATGGTTAGAAAAAAAAACTAAAGGAAGATTAGATTCAGGGATGTCTTTCTGAAAGGAAAAGGGTGGATATAGTATAGAAATGATAGAATAAAAGGGTGGATTGTTGAATCTACTTTTGAACAACTACTACCCTCAAATATATTGATATGGATTTTTGTATTTTGATACAGATTTAAGATTATTCTTGTTATACTGAATTTATGTTTCTACTCTTGTTTAAGGTATTATACTTATGCAGCTTAGTTAAATATATAATGTAAAGTTTTAGTCCTTGAAAGCTAATTTAGGATAATAAAGACAGGTTAGTACTTAGTCATCTATAACAATCAAACTTTTAATTATGCTAGGTATGTTGTCAAGGTCAGAGGTATATTTTAAAAAGATAGATGGTTTAAAAAAAGCACTTCAAAGGTCTACAGAATATGACATTTAAAATGCTTTAATAACATAAGGCTTTTCATGACAGTGAGGCATGTCTGCTCCTGACAGCACCAATCTACTTCAAAAAAGGATAATGGGCATCTAAGAACCTCCATATAGAGTTTGATTTCAATGTGGAAAAGCTAGCCATTTGGGCAAAAACTACCCTTGCCTCAACTGCTGACAGTATGCTGCCCAGGCTGGACAAGCAGGGAACAAAAGAAAATGAGTAACAAACCAAACTTAGCCAAGACAAGGTAGGACAGTCCTTCAAAATTCCTGTTTCACAGAAAAGTCTGTCAGATAATCTAGGCCTGTAGGCTGAAGACAGATGCCCCACCACTACAGAGGAACCTTGGGTGACCAAGCCAAAGTTCTCTGCTGTTTCTATAATTTTAGAAGTTGTTCACTCTACACTTCCTGTTTACTCAAGTAATATTTTATCCTTCTTGGGTCTTTGATGGGGTTGAGGACTAGATATTTATAGTTTTACAGTTTTCCTTGTTACCAAATTCAGAAAAAAAACTTACATTATAGGTATACCGTTTTTTAAGGCTGAAAACATAAAAGCTTAAGTTGTTTATCAAATGATGTGGGAAGTCCTTCTTTATATGTGTTGCTTTTATTGGTTAATGGATAATAAAGCTGCTTGGGCCTATTATAGTGCAGAAGCGGACAAGGCGGGAATTCCAAGCGGACAGAGAAAGGAGCAGGCGGAGCCAGGGAGAAGCCATGGAGCAGGAGACAGACAGGCCAGAACCTTGCCAGTAAACCAGGAGCTTCGTGATAAAATATAAAATAATTTTAATATATTAGACCTAGCCAGCAATATGCTTAAGTGATTGGCCAAGCAGTGTTTTAATTAATACAGTTTTGTGTAATTATTTCGGGTCTGAGCAGCCAGGAAACAAACAAGTGACCTCCTCTAACAATCAAAACTATGTTTTAAGGTCCAAAAAGATATTTTTAGGATCATAATACAAGTTATGATAGAAAGTGGTATAGGTACAAAATTTTAGACTCACTAAGATTGAATAGAAATACAGTAGCCTCTCCAAATTTGCCAAATACAAATGAAATGGACATTGTGGATATAATTCTTTTTTTTAAAGACATGTTGCATTTTTAAAAAGATTTAATTATTTATTACATATACAGTGTTCTGTCTGCATGTATTCTTAGAGGCCAAAAGAGGGCACCAGATCTCATGATGGCTGTGAGCCATCATGTGGTTGCTGGGAATTGAACTCAGGACCTCTGGGAGGACAGCCAGTGCTCTTAACTGCTGAGCCGTCCTTCCAGCCTCATGAATATAATTCTTACCTAATAATTGTTCTTAATGTATATAGTTTTACTGTGTTAGAGTTGCAACCTTTCCTTCTTATTTAGACAAAAGGGGGAAATGTGGGAAATTTTACACTGTGTGAAGATGTATTGCTGTGATTATTGTAATAAAAAGCTGAATGGCCAATAGCTAGGCAGGAGGATTTCTGGGGAGAGAAAGGAAGAGGCACACAGGAGATACTGTGAGGAAACAGGAGGGTCAAGATGGAAGAGGGGTAATGCCATGTGGTAGAGTGTAGATTACTATAAATGGGCTAAGTTAGAGCTAGTTAGGATCAAGCCTAAGCTATAGGCCTTACTTTCATAATTCTAAGAAATCTCCATGTCATTATTTGGGAGCTGGCTAGTTCCCATTGATCACTATAGAGACACATTAATCAACACGAGAGACGTGCACCTGTGCTTGCTATGATGGCATACTGGGTACAGAAACATTTCTGTACATCTGCATCTGACATGCTAAGCAGTTCACAGAACTGTTCTGTGACGGAATGGGATAAGAATACTGCCTCCTCTTTGGGACAGATTAGTAGTACAGTATCATGTGAAACATTTGTTTTAAAGACACACACAAAGTCAAGGAGTGTTATCTCTGAAGTCTGGGTTTCAAAATCTCCAAATCTATTCCAGGGAGGGGTGGATAAATGACTAACTAGTTCCGATGTTCAATTATCTGCCTGAACATTGGTCCCTACTATTATCTTTCTAATAATCCCCACCCCTTCTGTGAATACCACTGCAAATTCTAATCAAAAACAAGCAAAGAGAACAATATATCTGTAGTGGCAAGATTGCAACAGCATCAGTGGGAGCCTGCAGCTTTCCGCCCAGCCTTTGTTGGGGGCTGGCCTGACCTTGGGACGATCTTCCTTTCTCAGAGCCACAGCTTCCAGTTTGGCTTCGTACTCAGCCTGAACTTGGTCCCTCTTCTTCAATACATTCTGTGGAAGGCAGAGAGAAACATGTTAACAGTCTGCAAAGGGCTCTCCAACTCCCAACCCGGGACAGGGATTATGCTCCAAAAGCCGCACATAACACCAGTTTCTGAGGAAAAGAGGAGGGGAGGAAGGAGAACCAATCCTGGAGATGGGGCTCTCCAGGGAAGAACACCAGATGTTGACAGCAACAGATTTTGGAAGAGCAAGTAGGGGAACGTGCACCCATCGCCACACTGCCCAGAGGCCTTAGCCTCTGCATACAGAGAACGTTGGCAAATGCTTAGCTCTACGCTTAAATGCAGGGCAGTCTCTGGGTTCAGGGGAAAAAGAACAGTCAAAATAGTTCTTAATTGTAATTATTAATTTATATAATTGACAAAAATCATACATATTCATTTATTGTGTATGAATTGCTCTAAAATACATGCATATTATGATGTGGCTAAGCTGAGCTAATTAGCAGGTATCACCTCATGCTCGTTTTTTGTGGTGAGAGCATCTAAACCTGTTCTCAACAAGTTTTAGGAACTCACTAGCCAGCTACCGTCACTCCATTACAGAGTAATTACAGATTTCTTGACGCCTTAGTCTGCCGGGCTGATCCCTGGTGTTGATTTGCCACTTGCTTATTCTCTATTTTGGGTCAGGTAGAGGATGCAGAGGCTCAGTTCTCCTCTGAGGGTTCAATCTGGAAAAGGTCCTGATGCATATAAGGCTGGATGTACAAGAGTTCTGAGTCCCTGGAGAGCAGCAAATGGGCTCAGTGACAGTGGACCTGGGAGGAAGAGGCGACATACCAACACGTAGTACCGGGCAGTGACACCTTGAGACTCTGCCCCAACTCACTTCCCTTCCTCCAATCTTATCCCTACAGTGCCAGACACAAGAGCTTGTAGAAAAAATAAAATTAAAAAAAAAGCACATCTCAGTTCTTCCCCTGAACCTTTTTCTGGAATATTAAAAACTGGCAAACCAAATATGGTCAGAGCCTTCTTACCCACTGACTCAGAAGCAACAAGTTACCTAGACAATCTCTAATCACGGATTCTACAGGGACCTTCCATCACAGCATGGAGTCAGGGCAGGAAGAACCCATTTCTGGACTAAGTGTGAGGCACTTGGTACCCCTGAGGATGTGTCCAAAGCTCCGAGTAACTAAATGCCTGAAGGTTCTCTACAGCCCATTTTCTAAAGGGAAACATCCACACCGGGAGCCCTAAGTCTTCTACTGGAGAATTTACTTTGAAGAACATGTACTCTGCAACCATTCGTCCTCCAGGTGGGCTGGTCATCTTTCTCCTAAGGGCTCTGATGTTCACTCCCCACACTCACTAATGTTTCCAATGGAGCCTTCTGTTGCGATGGGAATGTTCTTTAACATCTGCCTATCGAATACTTGACATGACATGTGGTTCATGTGAGTGAAGTCATGGATTTGTGTTCATGTGTGTGTGTGTGTGTGTGTGCGTGCGTGTATGAGAGAGAGAGAGAGAGAGAGAGAGAGAGAGAGAGAGAGAGAGAAAGCAGGTTCCTGCTCTTGCAAGAGCAGAGGTGTCAGATGCCTGAGTTATGGACAGTTGTGAGCACCGGATGTGGGTGGTGGAACCATAATTTGTGTCCTCTGTAAAGGCAGCACTGAGTTATTTCTCCAGCCCTGAAGTTTTCTTTCTTTCTTTAAATTTAAAGTTAAGTAAATAATTATATATGACAGTGGCTACCACACTGAACAGGCTAAATCTATAACACAAGACAAAGGAAGGTAACAAGAACCTAGGATTTCTGATTTCACAAAGCCTAGGCTGCAGTCTACATCTACCTGCCTGGTACCAGGAGCACTGAAAATCATCCTCTCCGCCCAGGAGAACTAAACATATGATACTGTCTGTGGGAGTGACGGCGTCCCATCCAGCGTCCACGTACTCCCCTTTACAGAACGCTGCACATCTTACTGGAAAAAGCAGGCACTTCCAGTCTAGCATTTCAAGGATTCAAGTCGCACAGACATGTACTGTTGGTGTGACCAGCATCTGAGAATCAATGTTGCTGAGAAAACGCCTTGGACTGCCAACCCAGAGTGTGGTTTTCTCTCCCTATTTTTATTATGTCTCTAGTTGAGGATGCCAAGACCCTTGAGAGGAGGGAAGTGAGAGAAGATTCATGCACCCTAGATGGCTACCATAGTCTAGAGGGCAACTAACTACTCAACCCATTCCACAAAGAGGGCAAGAGAAGCTCAGATCCAGTAGTCTGGGTTGCTCTCTGTCCAAGTCTCTGCCACCCAACCTCGCCTGGAGCAAATGGGATGCTCTCTTCAGGAGCAGAGTTGGGAGAGGGGCGGATCTGGGCTTGCATCCCAGAATCACGGGATAGCATAAAAGGCTCCTGACAAACGGGCGGAGGCAAAGGACATAGAGCCTATTGTCTAAATGAGGAGACTTGGCATGGTGACTGTGCAGAGCCTGTCTGAAGTCCCACTGCTGGGTAACAGGACGGCAGCAACTCAGTGTCCATCATCTTCTGTTTAGGGTTTCACAGCCCAACAACCCAGCCATGCTGAAGGTTGAGCATCTTCTAAGGGGAGCCCTCTACATAGCGCCGGCCATGTTAAGGATGGCTCGCCACTCCAAACACAGTCTCTGGAGTACGGTTGGTCAAGCCAGCTTATGGCTATTAGAGAGGGTTCATATGGGGATGAAAGAGTCAAGAAGCTCCAAAGAACAAACACAAGCCACCTGAGCCTCTCTAGGCAACACTAGTTTTCTCCCCCACTTCTGCCTCTCAGCATCAAGATCCATCAATCTAGGGGCAGAGAACAAAACAGTTCTGCCTTCATGGAGCTTCCATGCCAGACAAGAGACGAACAACAAGCAAGTAAGCAGTACTGGACACAGCACGAAGGAAAAGTAAAACGGGGACAAATATGGGAAGGACTGAGGATGTGAAGGACAGAACTTCTCTCGGATGCCACTTTCAGAGGAAGAGCACTTCAGCAGGATTTTAAGCTGTCCTGATAATCTGGAACTTCACTGGTTTTCTGCTCAGATGAAGAGAAGGCTAAGGACTCAGTTCAGTTTTCACTTTTAACAAGAGAATTGTGAGGAAAAAGATGGAAAGAAATTTTAAAATATTTAAACCTTATATACATATATATATATATATGTAGATTCTGATAGGTTTTGGAGGGAGGACTATAAAAATTGTGTGAGACAATTTGAGCAGTACTGGATATGAGACCACAGTAAGAAACCGTTTTCTAAAATACCTGTGTATGTGTGTTTCATCGCACACCTATGTTCATGCACATAGAGCCCAGAAAGGACACTGGTGTCTCCCTCTATCAGGCCCCACATTATTCTCCTCAGATCTTGAGACAAGGTCTCTCACAGAACCTGGAGTTTATAGGTTTTTTGCACCTAGACTAATAACCATCTGGCAAGTCCCAGTAATGCTCCTGTTTCTGCCACCCCCATCACCACTCAGCACTGTGGTTACAGATGCTATAGCCACACCTGGCTTATCCAGCCATCTCCCCAGCCCAGTAACTGTTCACGATTCTTCCCCAGTGCTGAGAGTTGAACCTAGATTCTCAAGCATGCTAGTCGAGTGTTCCACTGAGATACCCAGTCCTTGGCTTTAGTTTTTTGCAGTTGTAATGATATATTTTTACTTGACTGTAGGAGCATAGATATCTGAGGTGCACATTCTTTGTAATGAAAAGATTTGTATCTTCAGATTTGGGAGATTTTCTTGTATTATCTCTTTCTTAATTTCCTTCCCCTGGTTATCCCCGTTCCCTCAGCGAGGAGTTCCTCAAAGGATGCTGAGCCTTGAGATTAGTGCTCACCGCCACTCACTCGCTCACCTTCTGCCCCAGTTTTGGCATATCTGCAGCTGAGTTTTAGTTTCCAACTTTCTGGTCTTGCTTTCTAAGATTTCCTCAACCACATTTTCCAACTTTACAAATTTTATTTAACAAATCATGTGCTTTTTTAATTAACTATTTTTTATGTGTATGGATGCTTTGCCTGTGCACCACACAAGTGCCGGCTGTCTGAGGAGACTAGAAGTGGATTCCTGGGATTGGATCTACAAACAATTCTAAGAAGTCATGTGGGTGCTGGGAATTGAACCTGGATCCTTTGGAAGAGAAGCCAGTGCTCTTAATCACTGGGCCATGTCTTCAGCCCCAACAAATCATGTTTTTAATTCCCAAAGTTAGCCGGGCAATGGTGGCGCACGCCTTTAATCCCAGCACTTGGGAGGCAGAGGCAGGAGGATCTTTGTGAGTTCGAGGCCAGCCTGGTCTACAAGAGCTAGTTCCAGGACAGGCACCAAAAACTACAGAGAAACCCTGTCTCGGAAAAAAAAAAATTCCCAAAGTTATTTAACTCCTTCTCCCACAGCATCGCATTCCTCAGTATGAGAACACTGATGGAAAATCTCTTCCGATCTTTTCTTCCACTTAATTCCCACCCTCTGTTCACCACACGTTCTATCTATCTGTCTGTGGCGTCAGTCTTCCGGACCACAGAGATGGACAGATACCACATGCACTTGACGCTGCACAGAAAGCAAGCCAGTTTACCTTCATGGAGTCTGAGTACAGAATGTATTCCCTGAGCACTGGTAGAAATTCCTCTGTTACATCATCAGTCAGCTCTTCCAAGGCCGTGGAGCAGTTCCCAATGCAGGCCGACACACCTTCCAGGGGCTCCGACAGTTCACCTTCCAAGGCGCTCCACGTGGAATACACGGGCCCATATTCCCTCAGCTCTACGAGGTACTCTATAGGAAGAGAAGCCACTTGGAATCTAGCTGGGAGCTCTCAGTGTATGACTGAGTCAGGAACTGGGTGCACAGCCTTGGCTGTTCTCTTTCCTGGGCATGCCTTCCTTTAAGTGTAATATATTCCTAACAATGTTTTTAATTTCTCAAAGCTATTGCAAATTACTAACATCCAAACATCTAGGATTCTTGTTAACAGGAACCAAAATGCCCTACATGGGAAAGTGACTAAGAGTAAACCCAGGGAACTTTGAAAATAATCACCTCTTCCCCTGCTGCAAGTGCAACATCTTACAAAGCAATGTGGGAAGACTTTCATAAAGGTTCAGAGGGCCTCGGATCCCCTGGAACTGGAGTTATAGATGGTTGTGAGTCCACAGGTTCTAGAACTGAATCCAGGTCCTCTGCAAGAGCAACAAGGGCTCTTAATCTGAGTCATGTCTTTAGTACCCAGCAGTGGGATCTTTTTAAAAGAAAAAAAAATCATTCACAATGGAGAAACAAGAGGGTTAATGGGGAGCACACCTTGCTGGAAGAGATGTGGTCTCAGATAGGCAGACGCAGTCTCTCACTCAACAGTCCTATCAGTGGTTCCAGGGAAGAAGAAAAAAATATTTTTCACCCCTACAGGGTAAATCTGGCCCTTTTTTCTTTGTCACCAGGATTCTTGCCAGTTTTGACAAAATGTGGTTGCTGTGTTTAACTATTAGCAATTGACAGTAACTGACGCGTGTTTTAAAAGGCCTGCGTGACACCATTGTTCTGGTATGTCTGGCCTATATCTGTGTGAGAGGACAAACTGCCCCACTGTACCGGGATGTGGCTAATCAGGTGGCCATGACAGGAGACAGGTAGACAAGCAGTGACAAGGACAGAAGAGGTGTGAAGAGAAGCAGGGCATGGTGAAGGAGTTCAAAAGTTTACTGGGTCATAACCTTGGCAAACGTGGATGCCCACACCACCTCTCTGATAAGTTTATTCCTGTGGATGGAGAGCATGGGAAAGCACCATGCTGAGTGCAGGACAAAGGCCTGAGCACAAAACTCCATTCTAGTCACAACTAGCCCCTCCCTCTCTGTGTGTAGTTTTCAAGCAGAACAAGGCCTGGTTCTACCACTGCGGCATTTCTGCAGGCTGCTTCAGCCCGGTATGTATGAATGCCATCCCCATCACTCTGGGCACCACTCGTCTCAACAAAGGGCTCACCTATTTCTTCCTTGATGATCCGCTGGGCTATCCGGTCAATGGTTCCCAGTTTGAGTGCAAAAGTGTCTAAGTAGTCGCCGATGGCTGCAAACTCCAGAGGCCGACTCCTCAGCTTATAGCCGCCCGTGACGTGCTTGACTGACTCCCCCATTCTGCTCAGCAGTGCCATTCCCTGCTTCTTATAGGCATTCAGGTCCTGCCGATGACAAAGTACCATTTGGTCACGTGGCCAGGGCTAAGGAAACAGCTCCAGAAGCCGTGTCTCATTGGAAACGGAAGTACTAGAAAGCAGGGCTGTTAGGGCCGCAAGCACACGATAGCCCCACTGTGGGAACTCTTTCCATTGGGAGGCCAGATAAACATCTACCTACTCTTAAAGGGCAAATCAAAGTACAAGTCCAAAGTTCAAAGTGAGGAGTCAGGGACTTACTTACAGAGTGCAGGTGTCTCCCCCCGCATGGATGACGACAGCCCCATAGCCACAAATATGGACAGCCTCCCTCAGCTAAACTTCTAGAGTCTATACAGAGTAGCATCTGCCAAGACCAGCTGGCTGTGAAGTGAAAGAGGGTGTGGGCGGGATGAAGTGCCCGGCACACACATGCCTGGCCTTCTATGATGGACATCAATAGTCACAGCTGCTCTGATACGATGGCAGCTTGGGAACAGCACTCTACCACAGACACCAGACTCACATCCATATGCTCATGTCCGGATTCCCTGTCAACATGGTGGGGCCCTAGATCCTCTAGTCTAATCTACACCCTGTCTTTACTACATCCTGTTTTTAAACGCAACACTCTTTCTAACACAACTTTTGTAAAATCTTTGGTAAAAATGCCTCATGCTGTCTTAGCACAAAATTAAATGCCCAAAGATTTATTCCATTCACACACTCAGACTCAACTAGAGCCACATAAGGAAGGTGGAGGGAAGAAGGCGGGGCGCTGAGAAGAGACAACAGAGGCACTGCTAGGAACTCAGCTGAGGTGTCATTGCAAACAAACTTTAAACTCTGTGAGTCAGCAAAAGTGGGTAATGGGTTGGGATTTTAAACCTCTTGTATTCAAATACTGCAGCTTTAAAAAGATACACTGTGCAGCATCTGTGGTTCCATTACTCAGGAGGCAGAGGCAAGTGGATAGCTGTGAGTTTAGTCTATATAGTAAGACCCTGTCCCCCAAACCAACCAACCAACCAACCAAACAAACAAACAAAAAGCTGGTGGTGCATGCCCATCACTCCAGCACTTGGGAGGCTAAGGGATGAGGATCAGGAGTTCGAGCTAGCATGGGCTACAAAGTGAGACTCTATCATGGTCACTGCTCCATTGCTGTGAAGAGACACCATGACTAAGGCAACTCTTATAAAAGAAAGCATTTAATTGGAACCTGCTTACAATTTCTGATGTTTAGTCCATTGTCATAGCAGGGAACATGGCAGTATGCTTGGTGCTGAAAAAGTAGCTGAGAGCTACATCCTGATCCACTGGCAGAGAGGGAGAGGAGGGGAGGGCAAGAGAGGAGAGAAATCCTGATTTATTGGGCAGGGCAGCTCAAACAGACTGACAGACCACTGGACCTGGTGTGGGCTTTTGAAATCTCTAGCCCACCTCCAGTGACACACCTCCCCTAACAAGGCCACACCTCCCGATCCTTCTCACTCTGATGACCAAGCATTCAAATACAGGAACCAATGTGGGCCCACTCTTCTTCAAACCACCAGAGACTCCGTCTTAAAACAGTAACAAACCGGAAGTGTAACGAGCCCATCGGGGAACAAGCCTGTTCCCATTACTGAAATGTATCTTAGGCTGTCCTGCATCACTTTCAGAGATGGGTTTACAGAAGGTGCTGGTGTCTCTTCCACACCACTACACAAACAGAACAATCACCCCCAGTTCATGGGAGGGGGTTAGAGCTAGGCTATGGCTTTCTCATGACCTGACCTGTAAAGAACCAATACCTGGTGAACGACAAGAGTGCCCATGCCCACATGAGTACAACAGTAATTCCCTCTAGCACCTCTCCATCTCAGTCAGGCAATTGGGAGAATATTCTAAAGCTTCCATCTCCTATCCTGACGTCCTGACATTCCCAAAGGCACCAGACTTCCTCACGACTGTCACCGAAGCCTCACTGTTGCTGAGTTCATGTGCCGCAGGCAAGTCAACTACCAAGTGGATGAAATTATTAGTGGTACCTATCGGCACAGCCCAAACCCAGCCCACTGAGCTTCCTCACACCCTCCCAGCACCACAGGCTTCGTCTTGGTGACGTGCCTAGTTTGGGATGTCATCACCAAGAGATTGTCTGTGCAAATGCTCATCTATGGACTCAGACACTCCCTGCTCTAAGACACTGCCTTCCCAGGTTAACTGACAGCCATGACACCCAGGTCAGGCCTGTTGCTAATCATAGAAGGAAGATCATCAAACCCTTAACTGAGACCCCAGTCACTCCTTCCTCGACCTCCTCTCAGCTGTAGGTAAGTCTCGTCTGTGGTCGGAGTCAGCTTAACAGGAGGGAGTACTTATCTACGTAGCTACAGGGAAATTCACTGGAGTGAGACTGTTGTGTGGTGTGGTGGTTACAGTCGTACTTTCTCCTGTATGTAACTCCTTCTCCAGGCTCTGTAAACAAAACTCCGCGAACCCACTGGTTTGTGGAGCTTGGCTTTGGAGAAATCATGACCTTGGAGTCATTGGTGTCCTGTCTGGGGGAGGAACAGATGTTTGCTGACAACTCTTCACACAACAGTTTCATCAAAGGAAAATATACAAGAGTGACGTGGAGAGAAGCAGCTCTTGTCTCAGGAGTAGAGTTTCAGATTTGGAAGACTGGAGAGTCCTAGGAGAGTTCTGGAGAGTGTTGGCATAGCAACCTGGCCTGGCCACTCAGAAAGGGTTAACACTATATATAGTTTATCACAGTTCAAAAGAAAAGATGGGTTTCTGGGTGTGATAGCGCACACCTTTAATCCCAGCACTCGGGAAGCAGAGGCAGGAGGACTTCTGTGAGTTTGACACCAGCCTGGTCTACAAAGCGAGTTCCAAGACAGGCTTCAAAGCCACACAGAGAAACCTGGTCTTAGAAAAAACAAACAACAACAACCAAAAAAACCCCACAAACCCCAAACAAACGGGCTATTTGGTGTGTTTAGTTGGGCAAGTGACACTAAAGTGGGCTTGCAGTTTGTTTTGGTTCTGGCTTTCTTCTCTGCTTCTTCAGAAAGGGGCTCATGTATCCCAGGCTGGTTTTCAATTCACTATGTAACCGAGGATGACCCTGTCCCAGTCCTCGTGCTTCTACCTCCCAAGTGTGCACCACACCACGTCCAGGCAGAACTGTTTAAGGGTTGCTCGCCTGCACTCACTCACATGGGTCAGGGTTTGTCACACTGGTGAGCCCAGAACTCTCAGTTCATCTCTCTCCAAGACAGGGTCTCCTACTCATTCTCCACTCAGACTCCTGAGGAACAGGAATCAGACACAACCCTCCCACACTACACTCAGTAATGAGGACAGCCTGGGGCTTCTGGACAAAGGACCTGCACCCTGAGAACTGACGTGCACTTTGGGGGAACCATACCCAAGTATTAGTACACTGAGAAATGCTTACATCAAACATGTTCAGTCTGTAGGGGGAGCTGTTGTATGGGTTGCTATCCATGGAAGTTAAAAACAAAAGCTTAGAGGACTTTGCCAGAAAGTTTCCATGAGTGGAAAACAGACTCTTCCAGAAGCCTTAAATTTTAGCAGTTGCCATCTGCACACATGCCTCTGCAATTTTAACAGCGTGAAACGGACAGTACTTAGACCTCAACACCCTTGTCAATTAGAGCATTCTACATCTGGCGTGAATGCAGGAATCTGTAGCTAACTGGGATGGCTAGGGAGAGTGACACATGCTCAGGCATGTGTCACATTTCTGCGTAGGAAGAGTGGAGCCTCGGATTTCAGGTCAGTTCTGCCAACAGCAAGCAATGTCCAGGCCTTGTGGTACAGATGGGAATCAGGCCTTAAGAGCCACAGGACCCAGTTTCAAGTCCTAGAGATGCCAAATGAACAGGCTGAATCTCTCTGAACTTCAGTTCCCTCGGCTGAGAAATGAAGCTACAGTTATTTCTTGAGGGGCTCTTGAGGGGGCCCGAAGGTATCAAGGCAGGGAAGAGGTGAGAAAGAAAACTCGGCTCAGATTAACTTCGTCAATCTGGATCAGACCTGGGGAGTAGCATAGAGGCCATAAAGTACACGTAACATCTCTCCTAAGGATGGGTTCTATTAACTGAGAGCTAAAGATAATGTTCTAGGGAGGGAAGTGTCTGGGATAAACATTTTGGGTGATATGGGTGAGGTCTGCCTTTATAGCAAAAGGTAGGTGTGGCAGTTTGAATGTAATTGGCCCCCATAATCTCACAGGGAGAGGTACTACTAGGTGTGGTTTGTTAGAGCAGTTACGGCCTTGTTGGAGGAAGTGTGTCACTGTGGGGGGCGGGTTTTGGGATTTCCTATGCTCAAGATACCACCCAATATCTCAGTCAACTTCCTGTTGCTAATGGACTCTCAGCTCCATCACTCTGTCTGCCTGCATGCCACCCCATCTGGACTAAACCCCTGAAACTGTAAGTGAGTTATCCCCAATTAAATGTTTTCATTTATAAGAGTTGCTACAGTCATGGTGTCGTCTCACAGCAACAGAAACCCTAAGACAGTGGGTGAGATCTGCCTCCACAGACAGTAAAATGGTCACCAAGTTGTTAACAGTGTCCACGCTCAGCCTTCTGGGTGGAAAACAGGTAATTCTTCCTTTGAGAAGAAGCCTCTGCATGTTTAACATTCCTGGACCTTTGTGTGTACAACAGGTTCTTATGGAGAAAACTTTTATAATGTGTTATTTTGAGTGTGTGTGTATGTGTACTTTGGTATGTGGGTGGCATGCGGAGGTCAGAGGGTAACCCTGTGGAGCTGGGTCTTTCCACGCTTATGTGGGTCCTGGAAAGAAGATTTGGCTCCTGAGGCTTCTGTGGCCAATACCTGATCCACTGAAGCATCCTTCCAGCCCCGAAGGACACTGTCCTTTCGCTTTTGTACCTACTGTTGGTAAGCCTCACCTACTAACACTGCCAAGAAGCATCAACAGGACACTTCTGTTTCTGGCAAGTAAAAATTCCGACTTCTATTGCTAAGACAAAGGGGCAGCCTGTCCTCCTCTAGGATTCTAAAACAGAAAACATGCTAATGCCGCGGGCACCCAAAGTCGAAGACCTTATGATGCCCACCTCAGGGCACTACTCACGGAAGCGGCTCGCGAAAGAGCAAAGCAGTGGTTTGAGAAGGAGCCCAATAATAATCATTTACAGAGAAATACACAAAATTCTGCCCATACCTTAGCAGTGAGGAATACATTGAAGTGTTCATTGAAAGAGAGCACAGGGTGATCTGTAATCCTTTTTAGGAATTTATCCAGAGCTTTTCTTCTGGTCTCCACAAACTCTTCTGAGAAACGATCCACGACCCCTTTCACCACAAACTTCTCAGGAAGCGGCTGAGATGGAGAGAAACGGAGCAGTCAAGATGGGGCAGGAAAACTCCCCGGGCTAATGAATATGTACTGCCTATCTGAACAAGCTGGTGCTTATTTTTGTCTTTCTTCCCATTTTTTTTTTTTTTGAGGTAGGATCTCACATAGTCCAGCCTAGTCTCAAACTCACTTTGTATCTGAAGATGACCTTGAGCTCTTTCCTCAGGACTCCAACTTCACACTGAGATTACAGGTATATCCTACCATATCATTTTATGCCGAGCACTTTACCAACTGCACTGTATTTCTAGCCTAAGTATAGTAGTTCTTAATCTGTTAAATCTTTTTCTACCAACACAGGGTTTCTCTGTGTAGTCTTGGCTGTGCTGGAACTCACAACTTGTAGACCAGGCTGGTCTTGAACTCAGAGATCCACCTGCCTTTGTCTACTTAGTGCTGGGATTAAAGGTGTGTGCTTTTTCCGAGTGTTAGACTTTATATTATCATCAACACAAAGATTTTTGGGAAACGCAGATGTAGCAAATCCAACTGTCCTCTCAGTTTGATATGCACAGAACAAACCACTATAGCACAGCCCCTGAACTACTGAGAAGTCAACATCTGTCCAGAAAATACAGGTAGATTGTCTTTAAACATGCATAGATGTTATAAGAAGAAAGATGGAAGACAAATTCTAAGACCAGAAAGCAAAGGCTGGGGAGACAGCCTAGCCTATTCAGTGAGCTCCTAGACTGTGGAAGACTCCATGTCCAAAATAAAATAAAATAAAGAACATGAAAATAAAAGAAAGGGCAGACAATGCCAGAGGAACAACACCCACGGCTGGCCTCCATACACACTTGTACACACAGGCACACACATGAACCTACACTCCCCACGTATGCATACACATACACACAGACACACACTAAGGAAGGGGGCAGACAACATCAAGCACACAAAAATTTATTAAAATAGCTTAAGATTCTGTTCCCAGTTCAAATGCAGAAATAAGGAAGAGGGCAAACTCACACAGTTTAAGACGATCTTTATTTTCCTTTTAGGTTTGTAATTGAAATGTAACTTTCCTTATTTCTCTTATTCAACTTTTTCTATCATAAATCTTTGAGCCAACACTGTTGAACTATGTAAACTAGTTGCTCTTCCAGGGACCTTTGAGCTTTGTTTATTTCCTTGGTAGCTTGCTCAAATGAGTGACTAAATATGTCTATCTTACTGCCTCCCAGAGGAAAACCGACTGCTATGCACAGTTGAAAAATATCTGGGTTCTGACAAAAAAAAAATGTTGGTGAAAATGTAGACAGAGGGAAGCCTTATCTACCTACCACTGGTAGAAATATACACCAATTCCTTCACTATGGAAACCAGTGTGTGTGTGTGGGGGGGGGGTCCCTCAGTAAACTAAAAATTGGATTTCCTTGATAGTAGACATCTTTAATCCCAGCACTCCTGGAGGCAGAGGCAGGTGGATCTTGAGTTCTAGGCTAGCAAAGTCTTTATAGTAAGACAAAAGCAAAGAACATAACTGTGGCAATGAAATATTCTAAAAATTATCTCTTGTAGTCTAAGAGACTAGTGTTTGCTGGACCACACAGCCAGAATTAATAATAAAACACCTTGAGGTCATATAAGTCAGACAGCTAGCCTTACTGTGTACTCAAACTGTTTAGCCTGCCTTTAACTGAACACTCATCCTTCCCCGCCTTGGATCTCTCGGGTGATCACCGTTTACAGTCTAAACGGATGCACAGCACCGCTATGAGCTTTCTGTTTTTATTGTTCTTTGTTTTTTTGAGACAGGATTTCTCTGTGTAGCCTTGGCTGTCCTGGGACTGACTCTGTAGACCAGAATGGACTAGACCTGGGAAATTTGCCTGCCTCTGCCTCCCAGAGTGCTAGGATTAACAACATGTGCCATCACTGCCCAGTTCATAGCTGTAATCTTAAATTCCATGCCCCTGGCCCAGAACAATGCATGGGTATCACTTGCTGAAAGCAGCAAGCACAGAGATTGAAAGCAACTTTCTAAAATCTACTACCAAGGTTGAAAGCAACATTTATGAATATTGATTGATAAACAGTATTTATAATACTGTTTGTTATGTGAGTAGCTTGGAGCCAGTGGCTTAATCCCTCATAAAACTCTGTTAAAGATTTCCATAACGTATCCCATTCTTTCTCATGTGCTGTTCAATAGAGACAGAGTAAAGCCCTTCATTTAAGCACAGACACACAGACAGAAGATCCAGACACAGGGACAGATTCACAAAGACACCCTGCAGACAGACACAGATTCAGATCATAAGACAAAGGATTGAAGGAACAGGGAACATGAAGTAGAGAATTCAAACCGGGGCTCGCTCTTAGTTAAATGACACCAAGGGGAAGAACTTTTATTTCTTGTCTTAATGCAAAATCCTTGCATTATTGTTGACTCAGAGTTAATCACTGTTTAACCCATGAATAAAATCTGTAAAAAAAAAAAAAGAACAAAAAATGAAAGTAGATCTGCTAAATAACCTTGTTATACAACTGGTATCTGACTGAGAGACTCTAAGCCAGCGTATCACACAGACACTTCACAACAGCTAAGCTAGGGACTGAATGGAGGGATGGATGAGCAACTGTGCCATATACACAGTGAGTCTTCAGCTGTAAACGAGTTATGTTGAATTACAAGCACTGGAGATAACTAACCACAGATGTGGCTCCTAGATTTTATAAATACATGGGGGACTAAACGGAGGTGGAGAGGCGGATATGCTTAGTGGACATATATCTGTAGAAAACTATCCTTAATATTACAGTACCACATATAATGATTATATACAATAAAATAAAGTGTTTGAGTTTTAAAATATCTAAAAACACATTTTTTTTTAAAAAAAAGAGCAAATGGGATGATGATGAAGCTCAATAATATTGGTGATTTCTCCCAGAACCTACAAACAGCCAAGGCACACCTGAAAAGATACCCGCTTAATTACCTGGGAAATGAATCAAAACTGTAATGAACTTGGATGTGATGATACACACATGTAATCCCAACATTCAGAAGACTAAGGCAAGAGAAACCTGAGACCATACTGGGATATATCAGCTAGGGTGAACTACATAACAGGTCCCTGTCTCAAAAACAAACACCCTAAATATTTGTACAGATAAATATTGGAATCTACAAAAAATCCTACTTGCAAATTATTACAATAATCTATTGGAAATAATCTTATTGGAAACGTAAGGGTTTAATTTTGAAACAGTGACATTATACCCCTGAGACTTGGGGCTAAATATTACACGTGGTTTTTGCTTAAATCTAGTCTGTTATTTGAAATAAAAGCATGTTTCCTGTACATTGCCACAGAGAAGTGTATGTCTAAGTAACAATCTAAACGCAATCATGGATGTGACAACGTCTTGTCAAGAGTCAGAATCTTCCCTGAATTCAACAAAGACTTCATCACTTTTTTTTTTTTTTCGAGACAGGGTTTCTCCGTAGCTTTTGGTTCCTGTCCTGGAACTAGCTCTTGTGGACCAGGCTGGCCTCGAACTCACAGAGATCCACCTGCCTCTGCCTCCCGAGTGCTGGGATTAAAGGCGTGCACCACCATCGCCCGGCAAGACTTCATCACTGAAACCTGTCCCATCCTACCCTTACCAACTTGATAGAGAACCCCACTCCAAGGCATGATTCACTGTCAAACAAAGAAGCATCAAGATTAGAAATCATGCCATTAAGAAGAATAATTGCCAACCCTAGTTTAATTCAAGGTACTTGGCAAGTTCAATCAATATTTTACCATTAACTTCCCTAATGGAGGAAGGTCATTGGCTAATAAAGGAACTGCCTTGGCCCATTTTATTGGTTAGAAGATAGGTGGGAGGAGTAAACAGAACAGAACGTTGGGAGGAAGAGGAAGTGAGCTCAGACTCCACAGCTCTCCTCTCGGGAGCAGACGTCTGAGAGAGACGCCATGCTCCTGGCTCCCGGGCAGACACACGCTATGAAGCTCCTACCCAGGATGGACTAGGCTAGAATCTTCCCGGTAAGACCGGTTCTCGCAGATTATTAGAGATGGGTTGATCGGGATATCAGAATTAGCCAGTAAGGGCTAGAGCTAAAGGGCCAAGCAGTGTTTAAAAGAATACAGTTTCCGTGTAATTATTTTGGGTAAAGCTAGCCGTGGGGGTGGCCGGTGCCGGGGATGCAGCCCCACCGCTCCTATTACTACACTTCCCTAAAGCTAAAAGTACTTCAAAATAAAGGGTGGGGTGCTAAAGAGATGGCCTGTCAGTCAGGAACTCTTGCTGCTCTTGAAGAGGACAAGAGTTTGGTTCCCAGTACCCACATCAAGTATCTCACAACTGCCTGAAACTCCAGCTCCAGGGGACCCAATGCCCCCTTCTGGCCTCCATGGGCACTGCATACATGTGGCAGATAGCACATGCATGTGCAAATGTTTTATATAAAAAGAGGGACTTAGTGTGAGATATTCTGATGGCACTCTAACACTCCCAATAAAGTTATAGCTAGAATCAGGGGGTAGAGCCAGTGACTAGCTGATCAAAATTGGCCTAGAGAATCCAGCAATTTGGATAGAGAAGACACATAGGAAGGAAGGGACAGGGACTGAAGTCTGAGCTTCCTCTTGGTTTCTGGGATGAGGGAAGAGACATTTTTTTTGTGGTGTCTCTGGCCAAAAAGTAAGACCAACTAGTTGCTGCTCAGCCTCTCTAAGCTAGCAGGCTTTTAACCCCAGCCTTCGACTGCAGAGTCTTTTTTTTTTATTGAGAAAAGGAAAAAAAAAAAAACAAGTTTCCACCTCCTCCCTGCCTCCCATTTCCCTCCCCCTCCTCCCACCTTCCTCCCACCCTTCTCCCCCTCCCCCCACTCCTCTCCCTCTCCCTCTCCAGTCCAAAGAGCAGTCAGGGTTCCCTGCCCTGTGGTAAGTCCTAGGTCCTCCCGCCTCCGTCCATATCTAGGAAGGTGAACATCCAAACTG